GACTTTGTCCTCTTAAATGTCAGAAGTATTGTAACTGGGGTTTGCCAGATGATTTTTGCTGGATCCATGAAAGCCTCATTCACAAAGAGGGGTAGCTTGGCATGTGGAGAGGCACATAGTATATTCGTCAGCTTATGCTGCTTCTCTATCATGTTTGAAAGTGGGATTTCCAGGGAATCTGCCACTCTCTTAAACAGTTCTTAGAACAATTTGAAATCATCCTCTGCAAGTGGGGGCATGATCATGTCATCAAGTGACAAGGATGATAAATGTGTAGGTGTTTGCTCCTCCCCAGTTACATCTGCATCCTCTTCATCTTCCGTCATGGACTGGTTAGGTGATTGGACAGTTAGTGCCTGAGACCTGGGTGCTGGTGAGAGTTGTGGCAACCACTGTGGTTGCTGTGTGCAGTATGCAGCCCAGGGTTCCCAAAAAGACCAATTGGGAGGGATTGGTGATGGTACCCATGAGGTGGTTGCCACTGGAAAGTCTGGTTGCCACTGGAAAGTCTGGTCGGCCTGGGAGACAAATGCCTGAGTGTGTGCATCTCCAGAGGCTCATCATCTTCATTGCTGGATAGCATTGGAACAAATCTTGCCGGTGTAAAGGACAGACTAAAACGGGTGGTGTTTGGTGTGTCGTCGGTATCGAACAGCAGAGTACCTGGCACTAAGGATACCTGTAGGTCCAGATTGGTGGTAAATGCCTGTGATGCCAGCATAGTGAGTAGTGGAGCTGATACTGAGGTAATTTGTGTCAGTGTAGTCTGTGTCACCGGTGCTGAGCATTTCACCTGAATAGAGGGTATTGAGTGGTTAGCATGCGCCAACGGCACTGAATGCTTTGGCTGTACCGACGGTGCCATAGGTGATGGCATGGTGGCGCTCGGTGCCAATGCCGCACGAGGTCTAGTTGATGCTGGAGCCGGTGGCTTTTCTTTTGTCTGGGCCGATGGATGGATTTTCTTTCATCTGGGCCGATGCCTTGGAAGAGACCTGAAGAGGAATGGGACCTTTTTTAGGCACCTAACCCCTGTCAGAGTCCTTGGGGCTCCACCTTACAGGAGGTTCTCTCTCTGAGACCACCACAGGAGATAGATGCCTGGGTAGTGTAGTGTGCTCTGGGTCCAAAGCAGGGCAGAAGCAGGGCAGACAGTCTTCTCCATAAGCATCATTTTTAATTTTAACTCCTTGGCCTTCCTGGTCCTGGAAGTAAGTTTCTTGCAGTGAGGACAAGCAGAATGCTCCTCACCCAAGTAGAAGACACACTGTGAGTGTTTGTCAGATATAGGGATGGACAGCCTGTAGATTATATACCTTTTAAAGCCAGGTTAAGCAGGCAGGTCCAAAAAATGGTTTCTGCAGTACATGAACCTTGAGGGAAAAAAAGAGATTAGTAACTGGCTAACTCTAATTCTAACAAAAACATTTTTTTAAATAAACAAACTACACTAACAGCTATCAACTATTAACTATAACAACAACAAACGGCTAAGAAAAAAACTGTCTAAGAAGCTAACACTAACGCTTGAGCATGGCTGAATTCCAAATGAAGCCGAGAGTGGTAGAGAAGGAACTGAAGGGATGGTTGGCTGCACATGAGGAGTAACCATTTCAAACAGTGTGTGCTGGCTGTCCTGCATATACAGCAGACCAGAGCACTGCTACCTAAACTCTCTAATTAGAAGCATAGCAGCATTCACACACAGTCCTTGAAAAAGAACAATAATTATTCCAAAGTAAACAGTATCCAGAATTATTGTATTTCCGATCTGAAAAATTAGAGAAAATGTACTTCTCCCTGGCTGACTAATATAGCAGCTTGACTTCCTGGTATAGGAATGTGAGAAGAGTATTTTAACTCAGTGATGGAATCAAGAATTATTACCTCCTAAAAACAGTAGTGTTACTTATAGTTATACAAATATTGTATCAGGCCCCTTAATTCACCTTATATAACTGACTTGGAAGAAGAAAAACAGCACACCAATTAAATTCACATCATAAAAAATGGGAAACTTTCCAAACACCAATGAGAACAGAAAACAACAACAACAACATTAGAAGACAAAATTAGGCACGGAAGCAACTTCTACTGATTCTTGAAGGGATTACCAGGTCAATTTTACAATACACCTTTAAAAAAAATCCTGGTAAAACACAAAGATGTTTTTTACAAGAAGTGGAAAGTTGGACAGATAACTAGGAAGGAGTTTAATTAGATTGTTCGAGCATGAAGGGGTGTAATCAGGAAGTTCAAAGTGCAATTGGAATTGCAGGTAGCAAGAGATGTGAAGGGTAACAAGAAAGGTTTCTACAGTCATACTAGCAATAAGAGAGTGGTCAGGAAAGGTGTGGGACCCTTTACTGGATGAGGGAGGTAACTTAGGCTATGTCTAGACTATATGTCTGATTGGCAGTCAGTTTCAAGCAGAGTGCCCCAAGGATGGACTGAATTTCCCATGCTTCGTTTGCATAATGGCAACCATGCGTTCTTATAAAAAGGGCTTTTTGAAAGTGAAACTGCTGTCTAGACAGTTCTTTTGGAAAAAAACCCTTTTTCGAAAGATCCTGTAAACCTCATTTTTTGAGGCATACAGGATCTTTCAAAAAGGAGGGGTTCGAATTTCGATATGTCTAATTTACATCCCTCTTTCAAAAGAGGGATGCAGTTTAGACATGCCTTTAGTGACAGATGTGGGAAAAGCTGAAGTACTCAATGCTTTTTTTGCCTCTGTCTTCACAAACAAGGTAAGCTCCCAGACTACTGCACTAGGTAACACAGTATGGGAAAGAAGTGGTAGCCTTGGTGGAAAAAGAGCACGTTAAGAACTATTTAGAAAAGTTAGACATACACAAATCCATTGGACCAGATTTAATGCATCCAAGGGTCCTGAGAGAGTTAGCAGATGTCATTGCAGAGCCATTGGCCATTATCTTTGAAAACTGGTGGAGATTGGAAGAGGTCCCGGACAATTGGAAAAAGGCAAATGTAGTGCAAATTATTTTAAAAAAGGGAAAAAAGACAATTCAAGGAACTACAGTCTGGTCAGCCTCACCTCAGTCCCCAGAAAAATCATGGAGAGGATCCACAAAAAATCCATTTTGAAGCACTTGGAAGAGAGGAAAGTGATCAGGAATAGTCAACATGGATTCACCAAGGGCAAGTTACACGTGACCAACCTGATTGCCTTCTATGATTTCCGTTGACATGGGAAAGTCCATGGATGGCATATAACTTGACTTTAGCAAAACTTTTGATAGAGTCTCCCACATAATTCTTGCCAGCAAGTTAAGGAAGTATGGATTGGACAAATGGACTGTGAAGTGGATAGAAAACTGTCTAGATTGTCAGGCTCAACAGGTAGTGATCAATAGTTAGATGTCTGATTGGCAGTCAGTTTCAAGCAGAGTGCCCCAAGGATGGACTCTGGGGCCCATTTTGTTCAACATCTTTATCAATGACATGGATGAGGAGATGGATTGCACCCTCAGCAAGTTTGGGTTGAAACCCAAAGCTAAGGGAAGAGGCAGATACATTTGGAAGGCAGGGATAGGGTCCAGAGTGACCTAAACAAACTGGAGGATTGGGCAAAAGAAATCCGGTGAGGTTCAAAAAGGACAAGTGCAGAGTCCTGCACTTGGGACGGAAGAATCCCAAGCATTGTTATAGGCTGGGGACTGACTGGCTAAGCAGCAGTTAATCTTGCTTCGCTATTTTAGTGCTACAGAAGCTATTTGCATATATTTGCATGTATATGCAACCACACTTAAGTTATGGCCCTTGGCATTTGCTGTAAGTATTATTGTGGCCCGCAGGGCTTCCAAAGTTGAGTAGTCCTGATCTAATCATAAGAAATTTTCCAGACTCACCAACTCTAACCCAAAGAGGCTGTGGTCCTCCCAAACATCTTCAGATACTGCATCACCAATAAGAAGCACATCTTCAGCAAGTAATTCGAGAACTTCCCATATCACTCTTCTACTGCCTATGAATACAATATAAAAGATGTTACAGCAGTTCAACTGTAGATGACATATTAAATTATTTAATGTTAGTACACCTTGTACGTCCCTGGTCCAGCACCCTCAGGACCTGACTGGTCCCAAACCAGGGGAGGGCAATGCAGTGTGGGGGTGCCCCCCAGACACTCTGTTTTTCCCCAGGAAGATCCGCTGCCACCCAGGACTTAGCTCTCCCTAGAGCGTCGGGGGAGGGAGCTCTACTTCCCCCCATGGCTTAGCTGCTGATCTGGGAGCCACTCTCATGCTGGGGCTCCCTTCTCACTACAGCAGCCAAGAACCCTACTGCAGTCAGGAGCTCCATTCTCTCCCCGATAGCTTTGCTGCTGTCCGGGCTCTGTCCTCCTGCTGGTGGATGGAGACTCCACTTTCTCCCCAGCAGCCCCATGTTGTCCTGTGGAGCGTCACGCTCCCCCCAGCAAATTTTCTGCTGCCTAGCAGTCTCCACACTCCACCCAGCAACCCCGCTGCAGCCCAGCAGCTTCTGAACTCTACTGAGTAGCTCAGGTGCCATTTGCAGGACTCTGTGTTCCCTCAGCATTTCTGTGCTCCTCCACCCACCACTCCCACTGTGACTCAGGGGACTCTGCACTCCTCTCCAGCAGCTGTGTTACTGCCCTCAACCATGACAGAAAGCTAACACTTCTCCCCCCCGCCCCCCACCAGGAAATGGGGCTCTGCATTCCTCCCGGTGACTCTGCTGTTCTATCTCCTTGATTGCTCTCATGAAGTGTCACCCGATGATGCCGGACCAGGGAACTCCGGATTACAAAGTTTCAGCCTGTAGAGCAGCCACTTTTCAGGCTAGAAACATTTTAACACTGAACAGTGATAAATTTAGTCTTCTTATGCATTCATGCTACTAAGTTAGTATCAATATTCTCCATTGTAATACTCAGCAATAGCTTTTAGTCATGTCTACTTTTTCTTTGTTTTCTGGAAAGAACATTTTGAGAGTTAATGCACTACAGTGCATTCACCAAAAATACTAAGGGGGACCTCCTGCTCTCTGCATTTCAGATCTTAACAAGGTTTTATTCTTTATGCTACAGACACCAGCCAGTCACATTTCTTGTGATGAAAAAGTCACATTCCACTCTGGCCATCTCCTTTTACTACCCTGAATTCACAACTAACTAACTTACTGAAATGATGAATTCCTTCTTCTAGTTATTGTAACACTATGTTTGATAAGGAAGAGCTACTGGGATGCTTTTCGCTTACAGGCAGTCCCCGACTTACGCGGATCCGACTTATGTCGGATCCGCAGTTACGAACGGGGCTTTTCTCGCCCCGGAGGACACGGACTGCGGGACCTCATGGTCCCGCCGCCCGTCTACTCCGGGGCGAGAAAAGCTGCTCCGCGTCTCCCTGGTCTGCAGACCAGGAAGACACGGAGCAAAGCCGCGGAGGGGCTCCCCG